ATATATATATATATATATATATATATATATATATATATATATATATAATAGATATTTATCAATGGGGATAGGAAACAGCCTTGCTTCTTCTATGTATGAAGTGTACATGAAAGAGCAAGGAAAGCAAAGAGAAGCTGCCGTGAGTCACAATAATACACGTTTTCATCTGTATGGTGATGCAATGTTGGGAAAGGACAGATCAGCTCATTGACAGAGAGAAGAGGTTTCTTAAGGGTTCTTTTGTCAAAGCAGTAAAACACACATATTCACCAGGTTGAGGAATAGTTGTGACAGCATAGTCAAAACCCTAACATTTTTGTTTGCAATTCTGAGTAGATGTGTCTGTAGAACTAAGATAGATATTGTTACACATAGTATGGTCTTTATTTTCTTAAAAATCTATCTTGAAACATAGGATCTAGCAGTTTGGAAGTGACAGTAACTAGGTTTACCAGACAACAGGAGTTTTCATTTAAACTCTGCCAGAGAAAGCATTTGTGTGAATTTTGGAGGTGGGTATGCAGAAAAGCCATCACCTTCCAGGGGCAGCTGACATCTGCAGATGGCAAATGTGGCACTGTGCCAGTGGCTTTGGGGGTCCCCTTGTGATGCCAAAGGCAGCATGGATCACTAGTACATGTTTGCTGGCATGCTTCTCTTTCTGTTTTTCTTTATCTTTTCCTGCAATAATTAAGTAAGATTACATTTCTCTGTGTTATAACTTTACCAAATAGGTAGCGTACTACCTGATTTTTGATGAAATCCTGATACAATGATTGCATTCAGACCTCTCAATTTGGCTTCAAGCAAGACAATTTAAAACTGTGTGATATGAACCCTGGTAATATATTCTCATAAAATATTGTGAATTAGGTGTCTTAGTAGGATTTATTTGTATCATTGTGTTAAAATGAAGTAAGACATCATTGGTCACATGTAAGCCTACAATACATTGTGAAAAATAGCTCAATTGGTTCAGCTATTATCAAAACAGGGCAAATTTAATTGGAGCATTCAAATATTCAGCCAACACATATTTATTGTGCTGGTACTCCAAGATGTCATGCTGCTGAATTTTCTGCCAGTTTAACTTCTTGTGAGCTTGCCAACATAAATGGGTAGAGAAGAACAGGTTTCATTTATTAAAAAAACATCCCAGAGCCAGCCTTATGTTTATACCCTTGGAAAACATTATTGTAAATACATTTCTGTCTCACCTGAACTCAATGTCTTCTGTGTTTCAAAAGAGGAAGGAAACGAAAGTGACAGCCCTTTTCAGCAGAGAGACTGTATTTATTTTTTCTTCTGGTTACATAAACCAAGTTCCTTAACATCCTTTAGTCAAACTGCCTGGGGAAGTGTTGCATTTCTGACAGTGTATCAGTGCAGTTTGAATGATGTTGTACAGAATGATGTTTAAAAGAATAGAAAAAAACCCTGTTTCCCAGATAGAAACCAAATGTAGTCATCCCTAACTGACATAGGGGATTAGGTCCAGATTCCCTGCAGACCACAATCTAAGGATACCCATCATCCTTAGTATCATACTGCAGTATGGCCTGTAATCTGTATATCCCCCTTTATACTCTGACTCAACCATAGCTTACTTGTGACACTGAATACAATTTGATGGATAGATAGACTGTATTATTAAGGGAATAATGACAAGACAAAATGTCAGTGTTCTTGCACATTTTGAATATATCTGGTTTCATATGTATATATATTGGTATAGGCATATGATGTATGTGATGTATATGATGTATATGAATATGTGTATGTGTATATGTTCAGTTAGTTGAAACACAGCTGCAGAACTCATGGACAAGCAGACCAATTGTGTCTCAGAATGAGAGAGACTCATTATGAGATTGAAAAGATGCTTAAAATAAAAATAATTTATAATCAGTACAGATATTTCTAGTTGAGGTTTTCTAAAACAGAGGTGTTTGAAAAGAGATAAAGAAATGTTGACAACTCTGACTATAAGGAATAAAGTCCAAACTTCTTGGCATAGGAGACAAATCTGCACACCCCATACCCACATCACTTTCTCTTGATAGAGAAAAACCTCAGTGCTTCCTTGTATATGGAACTGTCTATTGTTTTCTGTGCTGGTTAGTTTTATGCCAACTTGACACAGATAGAATCATCGCAGAAGAAGTAGCCTCAGTGGGAAAATATCCCCATAAGATTGAGTTGTAGTCATGCCTGTGGTACATTTTCTTGTTTGATGATTAATATGGGAAGGATCAACTCACCATGGGTGTACCAGCCATGGCCGGCGGTCCTGGGTTCTATAAGAAGTTAGACTGAGCAAGCCATACAGAGCAAGCCAGTAAGCAGCACTCCTCCATGACCTCTGCACCAGCTTGTGCTTCCAGGTTCCTACCTTGCTTGAGTTCCTGTCCTGACTAGCTTTAATGATGAACTGTGATATGGAAGCACAAAGCAAATGCATACTTTCCTCCTCAAGTTGCCTTTGGTCACACCAATAGTAATCTTAATTAAGACCGAAATTGGTACCAAGATTTTGGGGTGTTTTTGTAACAAGCCTGACCATGTAGAGTCTGGGAGCACCGTGGGAGGACTTTGGAACTTTAAGCTAGAGAAGCTGTTCTGTAGAAATTTAGAATATAAAGAGAATTGAGAGAAATGCAGACAGTGAAGGCCTGACTTGTGGAGCTCCAGAGAGAAATCTCAGAGTCATTTAAAGACTTCCTCATGGCTACTTTATATTTTGAATTAAGAACTCATGGTTCAGGTCAGCTAGGGCTGAAGAGTCAGCTATCATTAACAAGAGATTCACATCACCTAAGTGAACCCTTTATATTACTGAGACAGTTGATGCTGGCTAGCTGGAACTGAGAAATTAGTGGTGATTAAGAAGAGACCAGCAAGCATTGCAAGTGTGGATGCTGTATCACTTGTGCATCAGTAGGTGGCAGAGAGGAGAGAGAGGCTATGTCTACACTCAGTGTTCTGACCTATGAACATCTGAAGGATTAGTAACCTAAAATTACCTGCAAAAAGCAAGCTGAAAAGATCACCAGTCCAGAGCTAGGGGGCTGAGTCATGGAACTAGACTGAGATGACCACCAGATTCTGATAGCTCCTAGAACCAGGAGCAAGCTAGAGACTGGACTCAGTTACCTCCCAGGCCCAGATCCAGGGCTTTGAATTGGCCCACCCCAACTTCTACCTCATGGATGAACTGTGCAAGTGTATGAAAGGGAGCTTCCTCCACTTCCAAAACTACAGGATATCCCTGATACATGGCAACAGTAGAATATCTGCAAGGGGTCACAGGGAGGTTCCAGTATCAATAGAGTAGCAGAAGCCAGAGGCCTCATACCAGACCAACAAGTCATGGCAATGAACAGTTGCAAGCAAAGAAGTGTGGACAAAAGTGAATACTCGGCAACCTACTGTGACCAACTACAGTTTCCACAGTGAGATTTTTTTCTCTGTTGGGGAGGGGATTGCAGGGATGGAGGATGAGTATTAGAGGAGGGGAAAATGAGTGGGATTGAGGTGCATGTTGTGAAATTCACAAAGAAACAAAAAAAGGAGAAAAACAAAAATAGAAGAAGAAAAGGAGAAGGAGGAGGAGGAGAAGAGGAAGAGGAGAAGGAGGAAGAGGAGGAAGAAGAGGACGAGGAAGGAGAAGGAGAAGGAGAAGGAGAAGGAGAAGGAGAAGGAGAAGGAGAAGGAGAAGGAGAAGGAGGAGAAGAAGAAGAAGAAGAAGAAGAAGAAGAAGAAGAAGAAGAAGAAG